CTAATGGGGGTGGGTTACTGGTTGCCCCTGTTTGGCAGTTGAAGTACTTTCGGTTGTAATGGTTGTTGTGTTGGTTTTGGGTTTTTCGGGCAAGGAAGCCTTACGCCCACGAAGGATTTCGAAGCCGAGACCCTCAACCACAACCCACAGAATCCTACGCCTCAAATCCCTGACCCTGGAGCTTCAAACCCTGACCTTTGAAGCCGTCAGGTTTACGAACACGGAGGATCGGCGCCGGCCCCGGGATGCAGGTGAGGCTTTGGCTCAGCTTAGACATAAATGGTATGATGGCCGGTTCAAGCTCGATAGTATTTAGGGTTCATGTTTGAGGGTTTCGGGAGGGCTTCGGGCCAGGCACATGTTGGAGGTGCAGAAGCTGCACAGACAGAAGTTTGTGCAGGAGGAAGATATCCTCCAAAGCCAGATCGATGAGGTCCCTTGCAGATCTGTGATTTCGGGCTAGGGTTTACGACTGACGGTCGGGGATTTAGTTCAAGGCTTAGCTTTAGACATCAACGGATCGGTTTGGGGCTGCAAACAAATCAGCGATTGGTCTTTTGCACGGGGTATCTTCGTACCACGGACGGACATCTTGTGTGACCATAGATTGCAGTCCTCCTTTCATAGGCTACCAGACTTGCTTCTGGGCCTAAGATCAAAGTTTTAGCCGTTTGGGGGTAAAGGTCTTGGAAGGTTATCTAAACCATGAAACTGGTGGGCGTGCACGCATGGCTTTTCGGCACAGCTCGTTGCATGAGGTTTGATCGTTTTCTTTGCTTCTGAGCTTCTGGGCCGGTCCTTCCAACTAGACTCTGCAGGGCTAGGGCTACATTCTTCACGATTTGTTGGGTAGTTACGGTTCCACGCCTTGTTCTGTGAAGCAAGCCCCAAGCAAGCACCTTACAGAAAGAAGCGCGCAGCTCGCTTCGGAGCGTGTGCTGTTGGTGCGGCCTGCAGCGTGCCAGCTATGATGTAGGGGTCTTGCATTTCCAGTCATACGGTTGCTGTACGGGTACCTGCCTGCAGCGGTTTCGATGTTCAAGGTGATCAGGTGCTCGACCGTTTCAGATGGCAGCTGTTGAGTAGCCTTGGCTCAGGATTAGGTGACAGGTTCCTTTTCTGGTTGGAGGTTTTCCCGATTGAGGCTTTTCGGTTCTGGTTCGAAGGTTAAGCGTTTTCTTGGAAGTCCTGGTATTATTTTAAAGGTTGGGGCCGATTGCAGCTGTGCCAGTTGGGATTTTGCAGTAAATCGGGCACCAAACAGCATATTGACAGAAATTGGCAGATTGTGAACTTTATCCTTGATGGGCACATTACCTCCAAGAGTGTTTGTTTACGTTCACTTTTTGGAAGGGCGGATTGAGAGGGCCCCGAGCAAGCTCTAAACCTCCAACCAGATCAACTAAACCCAGTCGAAGGCATCCGCTGGCGCTTCTTCCACGGCCAAGGTCTTGCCGGCTAGCATTGGACGAGCCTGTAGGGATAAATCATTTTGGGTTTAAGGTTTTGAAGTGGGACCACCGATAAAAGGCCTGAGTGATGGGACCCTTCCCAACACAGACCCTTGCGTCTACGCAAACTCCTGCCTGGCTAGATGGACTTTTGCAGTCTGCTCCAGGATGACAATAGCCAGACCCAACTGAAGTGCTTATGTAAGACCCGATGGGATTGCCCTTATTTCTGATTAGGCAGGTTCAGTCTGTTCAGCAAACTTCCAAACTCCTCCCATTGACAGAGCCCAAACTAGAGTCCTCCAGAGGCCGAAGCCCTAAACTGAAACACCGAGCCTGAACTCTTGACCTAAAGCCTAAAACGCGGAATCACTTGCCGTGAAATCACCTCTTGAACTCACCAGGTTCTCGAGCTGTCTGCTTCTCCCTCGACAGCGCTTTCTTCATTCGAGGCGCTTCAAAGGGGTCTGTGAGTCCAGTGGCTTTGGTTGTACGTGCAAGTTTCTTGTTTTTCACGCAAGACATTCGATGAGGGTTTCTACAAAGAGGGCTTGATCAGACTTGATACGAGTGTTACACATTGACTTTGTAGGAGTTTAGACGCTGTGTGTGTGTGTGTTTTTGCATAAGTTCCGACTCTAGAACTTGTTCGCAGCAAGACGTTGTGGGATTTAAGGGTGTGAGCTTAAACTTTAAGCCCTAAACCCTCCCCAAAAAACCCTAAGCCCCGAACTTGAAGTACCGAGTTTATTTGGGGGCGAGGTGATTTGGAAATTCGATCCTCGAGCTCTGAGATGGTGAAGGTTGGAGGGCGCAGCCTTGAGATATAGTCGGGGCTCTAGGATGTTGTTGAAGTCTCGGGTTTTTGGTTGCCGGACATTTCCGGTTTAGAGTTTTTCCAACCCAGGACTCTTCACTTTGCATTCGGGTGCTTTTGCGAATTTGGATAAATTTCGGGTGTAGGGATCAGTTGTAACTCAATACAACGAGCATACATGCAAAAGTAGGCAGCTGTCCCGGTAGATCCACCGCAATGCCTTAAGCCTACGACGCCCTGATCCCCGATGTCCATGACCTTAAACCTCGAAACTAAACCGCAGACCCTTTACCCTAAACTTTGAGCTACATCTCGAGACCCGAACAAGCAGCTCGGGCCCCAGACCTTTTGAGGCTTCAGGGCTTAGGCTCTAGGGATTTAGACAACATAATGACGTAATGAAGCCGAAAGCCTACTTTGGACCACTATACCCAGAAGCTCCAACGCCCTTCATCGAGGAATTTCCCGAACGTTATCGGTCTAAAGCACAAACCCCCTGAACCTCTGACGCTGAAATGAGCAATCAGTTGCAAGAGGACCCAGACGGCAGTGAGTCGGCAGGTGCAAGGCTGCAAGGTTGTGAAGCAGTTTGATAAAGAGGCTTTACAGGGCTCGGGCCCTTGAGCATTTGTCGGAGTTTGGCCTTAAGTTGTTGAGGGTTACGTTTTTGCTTGTTGGCGGTAGCATAAGGTTCTGCGCACACAGCACCAGGAGACTCGGCGACAGAAGTGATATGCAGAGAAGCTGAATGACGCTTGGCCCGCAAAAGCTGGATTGCATCATACATGCAGTCTCCGGCAGGTGCAGGGTTCCATGGATTCAAAGATGACATCTACAAGCTGAGAACCTCCAAGCCGCATACTGGGGCATGTACGCAACATTGGCCCTGCGCAGGGCTTGGGGATGCGAGGCACATCGAGGGCCTTATTGACATGCCGCAGTGAATCGGAGCCCCCAACCTTCCAAGCTGAACCCTAAAGGCTCGAACCGTAAATCCAACCTGACTACCCACATACACACACACAGAGATGCATGAATATATTTGTTTATTTATACTTATGTTTATTTACTTGTTTGCATACAAGTGTGTGTATATATATATATATATATGCGCCCTATATCCCTATGCATGATTATGCAGTTTTTGTTTATTTCCACCCCCACACACACACAAACATGCATATACATACAAAGATACATACATAGTTACTTACTTACTTGCTTACATACATATCCTGAATCGAGATCCTGCGAAACTATTCGACCGACAAACAAACACTAACCTTGAATCCTGACGATGCACCTGGTCCTAAAATCCAAAATATCAACCTACAACTTTCTGGAGTTGAGGCAACAGTGGCTCTCCCGAAAGCACTCCCATGTGTAAGACACAGAAGCACAAAACAACACACAAGGGTTACCGGATTGAGTGCTTTGGTTTTTGCTTTTGCGCTTGAAGATATCAAGACCGAATCGCATACAGCGACTCTCAAAGCTCACTCGGCTCAGGATGCCAAATCGCGGCAGATCGCCCTGAACTTGGTCAGTTCGGCTTCGGTCTTTGACTGCAGGAACCCACTTGGGAGATTTTTGGCCTTGCGTTTCAGATGTCGCAAAACTCGAGTCAGGCCTCTATGTTCCACAGAAGGTCTTTATCCAAAAGCCGGAAGAATGAAGTCGTCTTCAGGTTTAGGTCTCTGTTGGGGCGCACCGGATTCTATCACGAAACATATAATGTCATGAACACTGCTTTCGAAGCCTAAAGCTCAAAGCTTTGCTGAAAGCCCGAAGCCTTGTACCCAATTGAACCTAACATCAACTAAAGAAAACCTCAGAGGCATTTGATGGTTTCAGAAGGTCCAGCTAAAGATTGGGAGCCAAGGGCTTTTGAAGCAAAGCAGCTACAAAGCCATGCCTACTTCTAGCCCCATCCCAACTGAGGCCCCCAGCAGCATCTGTACATACATGGTCAGTACACGGCCCCCCCACAAACCTGTCCCCAAACCCTTACCCCGAAGCCTGAATACTCGGACCTATGTCCTGCTACGTAGCCCTCGACCGTGAGCACAGAGACTCGAAGATCTTTCAGGCAATGAACCGCAGCAACAAGACCATGATAGTATCATAGCAATAATGGAACCGTAAAGCCAACAAGAACCGAAGCGCTTGGATCCTACCTTCCAGCCTAAGGCCCATGGCGGGTCTTCGAGGAGGACCTGGAGGAGCCAAGTCAGATGGCACTGAGAAACCTGAAGGGACCACGGGGGCCTTAAGGGGCTTCGGGTTTAAGGTTTAGGGTCTAGGAGGACAGGGGCTTGCCTGTAGCATGGACCCAGGCGATTATTAACAACGCATTAATTCATGGGTTTGGGGGCGTTGTTGCCCAAGGAATCCACTGAGATCAAGTCCCTTGTTTCTGGAGGTCTGGCGGGTGGGGTTCCTGGGGTGTAAGGGAGTTGATGGTTGAGGGGTTCCATGTAATTCCCATGCGTAGGCTAAGCTTTTTCCGGCTCGACTTGCCACAGCATGTTTGTCACGGCGTTTTGAAACCGAAGCACTGAGAGTTATTTGGGAGTCCGAATCTACCAGATGTCGAGAGGAGAAGGTGACGAGCAATGCAGGTCCAGTTGGCTAGGCGTTTTCGGGGTGCTCTTCGGTTAAAACCCTAAACCCTAAACCCCTAGGTGCTAAGCAGGAAGGGAAGCCACGGGCCCGCACATCCAGCGGTTCAGATGCCCGAGGCAAAAGTTGAGTGTGCAGCAGAGCTTTAATGGCATTCTTATGGATGACGATATCTGACGTAGATCGTGTTGTTCGGTCTGTTAAATGATGCTGTTGTTTAGTCATAAGGCTTAGGACTGAAGGATCAATTTAGGGTCCAGCGTTTGAGCTGATTTACGGTTTCGAGTTGTAGGGTCAGGTTGTAGGATTTCGGAGTCATGGTGTGGAGATGCTCGCAGGGCTGCGGCTTGCTAACACGATAGACACGATAGCATGTTTTCTAGCTTTTTGAAGAAGACCCTCGTCCATGCTCTATTCAAATCGGAAACAGCATGACTCACCAAGCACAGTCCTAACTCTTTTGCAGCTCCGGTGCGGAGTTCCCTAGAACACGGCGCCTCGTGCTTGCATGTAGTATCCTTCTACCCGGGTTGTGCAGATTCATGCGGATTCCTTGCAAAGTCTGCTGTGTTTCGCATCAGAGATTCACGCCAGCGCACACCTGTTTCGTAACCTGTACCATACTGAAACCCTAATAGTAGTATAGCACCGCATAGAGCCGCCAACCCTTACCCTGAACCTCCTAGCTTGAAGCCTACACTCTACACTCGGCACATCAGACAGGGTGCCGTATAGTAGCTAAGATGTTTGTCCCTGAACATATTTTATTATACCCCCACGGTCCGAGATACTCTACTTGTTTAGGGCCCTCTCTTGTGGTCTAGAGTCTAGGTGTTGAGGCGACTCTCATGCTTCCTGCCTTGTGCCGGCCAGGTGGACGCCAAAGTTCGTGAGCAGATCGCTGCAGTTCAGGCGCGGTTGAAAGCTTCCTGGGAAACGTAAAGTCTTGATTTACGGTAGGTGGTTTGGGTTACCGAGTATTTGCAATCGGAGCGCACAAAATCCCCGAGCTTCCGGGGCACAACTTGTTTTCATGGCCCCCTTGAATCAACAGCGTGGGCTTTGGGTCTGCTACGAAACCTACCATACAAGCACGGTCTGGGATTTTAGTCGTTCGTGGGATTTCAGCATGCTCGAGCATTGATGCGTTGAGACGCTGCACCTTGCATTCGATTCATAAGGAATTGGCGTAACATTCCGGAGTTCAGCCTACAGCCTGCGAGGACAGAGCCGCAGCGTTACTCTAGGATGCTTGCAACTTGCAGCAGGCTTTCACGGAATCTTTCAGCACGTAGGCCCGCATGATTCAGTCCTATATACATTAAACAGGAACCCAGAGCCCTGAACCGGACACACCGAAGCCGACAGAACCGGATACTATAATCCCTATGTAAGCCCTAAGCTGTAAAGCCAATAGACCCAGAACCCAAACCCTAAACAGCACGCAATTGCTAAATACCTTAAACCTTAACACTAAGCAATGAATGCCCACAGACCCTGGAAGCCGTAAGCGCCCGATGAATCCGAGAAACCTCAGGAACCCCCAGCCCTCTCTATCCTGCACCACCTAAACTTGCAGCCTACGAGCTCTGCACGGTGACACCCACCACATCCCCAAAGTCTCCATTTAGCTATCTCCTATGTCGGCCAGATTTGGTGCCGAGATCCAGGGTTGGACGTCTCCTATGTTCGTCCCCCTTCGCGCCAACTCAGCAGAAAGCTTATGCAGGTTCTCGAATGGCTGCCTGAGTGGCTGTCATCAGGTGGCTCGGGGGAAGGGGAGGGCTGGACAAAGATTCGGAAACAAAGATGCGTGAGTCTGTACTCATGTAGGTATAAGCATGAAAGTGCATGTCACAGCGATGACATGTGTGTATCTGTCTGCCTGTTTGTATGTATGCATGGATATACGTCTCTGTGTATGTGTCTACGTATGTTTGTGTTTGTGTTTGCGAAGCCGTCAAGAATCGCTGGAGAACTCCATGTCCTTCATACCCGCACGAGCGATCCTTAGATGCTGGAAAGGATGCGCCCGACTTGCCGAAGCCCCGAGCCCAGCAAAGCACAAGATGCAGCACTCAGGAGTGCATGTTACTGCTGGCGCAAAACCTATTGGCTGTACTGTTGCGAGGGCCAAATGCCAAATGCACCTGCCACCCTACTTAGTTTAACATCACGGTTTGTTTTTGTGCATGTTTCTGTTCCCCCATTTTGTCATGTTCGGCTTACAATACCTAGTCCCTCCGGAAAGCTGTGCAGGCTCTGTCAGTACAGTGGCCGGGCCTCCAAGCTTGAAAGTTTTGTTTGGCAGTAGGCTGGCAGCTGTGATTGCCACTGGAGCGCACGTGAGGTTTTGGCACCGGAGCCTGCGAAGAACATCGACACCAAGCAGCACAGTCTGGAGGAGATCGTCTAGTTGAGGTCGAAGGTTGTTTATTTTGGGGGGGTATGGAAGACAAACAAGTGTTCCCTGTCGCAAACAAGCTGAGCACCTAGGCTTCCAACCAATTCAACCCCGAAGTTCCGCAGTACTGCCGTCAGGAAGCGGCAGCCTTGCACCCCGCGGCACAGGAGAGCCTGGGTTACCTGATGTTTAGGCTCAATGCTTGCATTTCCGTTTTGGCAGAGACGGACCTTTGCTATCCGATCCTGCCTTCCACGAGCTCTTGAACAATGATGAGCGGTACCTGCATGACGCTTGCTGGACACTGTGAGGAGAACATGAAGCTCCTCCTCCGCCCGAGCAACTCTCAGTTGCATCTCGACAGGAGAGGATCAGACTCCAATTTTCACGGGGTTCTGAAATGGGTTACAGAGTGTCTTGCGCTTTCGGGCTGAAGGGTTTGTTGGTTGCAGGGTTTCAGGAAGATCAGGAAGGGCGTAGGGGCTGGAGTCTGGGCCGTGCCAGAAATTGCGGGACGTCTGTTTTTCAGAGGTCGACACTGTTTGGAAGATGCCCTTGCCGTTCTGGAGTCGCAATGGAGCCGTAGGTAATCCCGAACTCAAAGCCTCAACCCTAAACCGAGGACCTCGGCTTGGTGTCGTGGTGCGTTTCGGGTATCGTGTTGTGGCTTTTATTAGCCTTTCGGGTTTGGGGTCTACTGTAGGGTGCTGGGAACAAGTGAGTTTTGGGTTTTTGGGCTTGCGATACGGCATATGATGTGGAGTAGGTGGGTGTTGCCAAAAAATCTAACACCCCCGTGACACTAGTGAGTTTAGGAATAAAGCCGTAAAGAGGCCCAAATAATTGCCAACACCGTTCCTCAATAACTGCCTGCAGGTCTGACAGCCGATACGTAACATACAGTGTCGCTCGGGTTCCTTAGAATGATTATTGTATAATATACCCCGGAGCCCTGCAATTGTTTGAGGCCCCTGCATCAGAGGGTCCTGTTTCTTACTACCGGAAAAAGAGAAGGATCGAAATCACTGGTAAGGTGCCGGCGGCGTCGGACTCTGGGAAGGAATGAGTGGCCCTTTCTCATTCATCGGAGAGGCCAGATTCGATTCTTGAGCTTAGGGTTTAGGGCCTTTTAGGGTTTAGGCTTGAGTAAAGCTTGGGGTTAAGCAACTGGGTGGGATATCCCCAGTTTAGGTTCATTTCACAAAACGAGAGTATAAGGGGCTAGTCTCTTGAGGATTTCTTGCGGGCTCTTTGTCCCTAGAAGCCCGACGCCCGACTCAGATCACTGGAATCCGAGAATCCAAGGTCCAAAACCGCGGGACACCAAAGTTTGAAGGTTTAGGGTGTAAGGTTTAGGGAGCTACTTGGAGGATCCCCACATCCCCCATCCTCTAGTGCCCTTTGAACACTATACCGTACCCTAAACCCTTACTACTCTCCCTGCAAGTTCCCAGAAATCCAAGGATCTTTCCATTGAAGAGCAGACTGCCTTTACCAGTTCATGTTATACTCCCAACATATTCACCTCCAACTAAATGTTTTCCTCAAAACTAAACATGTGAATTCCGGGTCGTTTTCCACCTGCGCGACAGTCCTTATCCAAGGGGCAACATACTACATGCACACTTCACCGGATGATATTGCAAATTCCTCAGAACCCTATAAAACCCCACACCCCGAACCTCTGAACCCCAAGGCCCTAAACCCTAAATAATCCCTGTCACAATTACACATCAGCGCTGCATGCGTTCAGAACGGCAGAAATCTGGTCTCAGGTTTCTTGAGGGGCTTATACCTGTAGTTGCCATTGTAGTTCCAGTTTTGCTTAACCAATCTTCTCCTTAGGATCCAAACAGGTAACCCAAAAAAGGAACTACTATGGAGTCTATAGGTATGGTTCATGGTTTAGGATTTATATAGATATATATATATATACCCGGATCGGAAGGCAAACCACCAGTCACGCAAGCCCAGTTGGTAGGGTTTTAACGGGACCTGTAGACATGTAGGTTGTTGTTATTCGTGTTGTTGAATCCCACCAGACCCAGCGGACCCAACAGCCCTGAATAAATATCCGTTAAATCACAGCAATAAGCTCTTGAAAAGGTCAGGTGTTACGCTGCAAGGCACGGGTATTGGCCTCTCTAAGGAGCCCGAAACCCTACATCAAGGATGATTGAGAATTTCAGCGCTTATGTCCCAAATTCACCTATTTATTGTCGCTCAAACCTGACGACTTGTAGCTACCCATGAGCCTTCAATGTGAGGGGGGCTCTTTATCTTCATTGTGTTTTGGCTGCAAGCAAGCTGACCATGCAACGGGCCCGAGTTATTGTAGAAGCTGGAATTATGGCCTTAGGGTTCCTTATTCCCGAAAGCGTCGGCATCGGGTTCTAATGTGGAGGTCTTCGTGGAATGTATGGATTGTACTGTCGATGATAGTATGGATTCATGTAATAAACTCGTCGCAGTGCATCCAAGGTTCGTATCAATCAAGACAGACTCATATAAACTTGTCTAAGTTCTATCGATTAGTATGGCTTAGTATAAATGTATACAAACTATAGTATCCGCTAGTATAGATTTATATAAATCTCTAAAAACTAACTACAGTATCCGCTAGTATAGATTTATATACATTCATGTACACTATAGTATCCGCTAATATAGATTTATATAAACTCTTGAAAATTATAAACTAATTATTAGGCGGGTGCGGGCCTGCGCGAACGAATGGACACGCTCCGTTTTTGTCGGTGGGCACGAGGAATCGTGCATTTCGACTCCCCAAAAAGTGGCTCGCGTATCACGATCCCTCACGAAAACCGATGGAGCGTGATAAAAAGTGCCTGGCGCTGGCGCCGTTGCAAAAGTGACGTTTTGCCTGTGTAAGTTGTTATTTTCGTGAAAATCCCGCCAGTAGTTCGGGGAACGGTTTCGGTGGTGATAGCCGGAATGCGCCAGTAGTTCGGTGGAAAAGATGTTTCGGTTATGTCGTTTTTCAGGATTCCTCGGTATTTGCGAGGCGCGAGCCACTTCGGGGGTTGAGAAAATCGCCGAACTACGTGGTTTTTGCAGGTATCCTGCGTGTTGCGGTTTGGAGGGTTTTAAGGCCAGAGGTGTGCGCACTCGTAAAGAACGGTGTATCGTGATTTTGGACTTTTTGGAAAAACCCGAAATTCGCAACCCTTGTCGAGCATCATTGGTGTTTGCTCGAGGTCGATTGCACGGGGAGGAGCGTCCTGAGCGCATATAGCGATGGATTGTGATTCCGTGTGTTTTGGCAATCTTCAGTTTTTGGCAAAACATCTCGAGCATCATTGGGTTTTTTGGTTTTGTCGTTGAACAAACACCATGGCCATTTCGGTAGTTTCTGCGTTTTGGCGTGTATGCTCGTTTTGCGATTTGGCAACCCTCATCGAGTATATTGGGCTTTTCGTTTGAATGCATCCGTGCAAACTGTCAAATTTAGGCAACCATCTCGAGGATTATTGGGTTCGTCTGCGAAGTGCTGTTGAAGGCAACATGGACGTTATGCTGTTTCTCACCAGGGACCCCGCAGTTAGGTCTGCATGTGCTCTTCCGGATTTGGGAACGGTACGTGGTCCGAAAATGCTTATTTTGCTTCGTCAAGTCCTTGATTTGGCTACCTGCATCACTGCCTTTTGTGTGAATTGCAGGATTAGGCGGGATGACGGATTTGGGACCCCTCATCGAGAATCCTTGAGTTTATCGTGGGATCATGCCATTCCAAAGAGTTGCTACGGCTCGTTTTTTTACGAAGGTTTGTGTGTGTTTTGGCTAAGGATGGCTTGTCGGCATCCGTCAGTACTTGGGGGAAAGGGTTCCGGCGGCATTCTCTAAGGCAGCAGTAGTTGGGGTACGCGGAAAGCTCTTTGAATGGCCGGACCATGAAACTGTGCTTTTTGGAGGTCAAACTTAGTACGTGGAAGGCTGTTCCAGTCGCCGGGATTTGAAACCTCGATTTTGGAGTACAGACGTAGTACGCTCAAGGCTCTTGCAGAGGCCGGGCGGAAACTGCTCTTTTGGAGTACAAACGTAGTACGCGGAATGCTTTTCTGGGGGCCGGGCTCTGAAACTGCTCTTTTGGAGTACGAACATACTACGCGGATTGGTCTTTCAGTGGCCGGGCTTGGAAACTAACTGCTCTTCTGGAGGACAACGCAGTACGCGGCATAAGCTATCGTTCCGCCGCGAAGGCCGGTATTCGTCGGTAGTTCGGGGAACGGTGGTTGGGATTGGGGTGCGAGTGGGTGCGACCTCGTAATTTACGAGGTTGCACCCGGTCGCACCTCCAGTTCTTTAAAGTCTGCAATCCGTCGGTAGTTCGGGGAATGGTGTTTGGAATTCGAGTGCGAACGGGTGCGATCTGGCAAAATTACAAGGTCGCACCCGGTCGCACCTCCAGTTTTCTGAAGTCTGCAATCCGTCGGTAGTTCGGGGCTTCGGGGAACGGTGTTTGGTATCCGGGTGCGGACGGGTTCGACCTCGTAAATTGCGAGGTCTTGAAGTTGCTGTCTTGGAGTACAAACGTAGTACGCGGAAGGCTCTTCGAGTGGCCCGACCGCAAACTGTGCTTTTTTGGAGTACAAACTTAGTACGCGGAAGGTTTGTAACGCGATTTTCTGCATCTTTGTATACATTGTAACATAATTAGTAGGCGTTTTGAACTTTAAGGACATTGTAAGGTTGTAAGGGGAAGGTCAACCTTAAATTTCTGTACCTTTGTAGTGTAAGCGTTGTGAACTTTAAGGACCCTACAAGTTTGTAACGCGAAGGTCCACCCTTTAGTTCCTGTATCTCTATGTTGTAGGCGTTATGAACTTTAATTTAAGGACGACATTAGATTTGCAATGCGAAAACCCACCTGGAATTGTCTGTATCTTTGCATTTTACAGTAGGTGTTGTGAAGTTTAAAGACGCTGCAAGGTTGTAACGCGAACGTCCACCTGAAATGTTTGCATCTTTGTATCATAGGAGTTGTGAACCAGAAGGACACTACCAGTTTGTTACGCGAATGTCCACCATGAAACTTCCGCATCTGTGTATTGTAGGCGGTGTGTACTTCAAGGACACTGCATGTTTGTAACGCGAACATCCACCTTAATTCTTCTGCATCTTTGTATTGTAAGCGTTGTGAGTTTTAAGGACACCGTAAGTTTGTAAAGGGAAGGTCCGCCCTGAAGCTTCTGTATCTTCGTAGTGTAGGCATTTTGAACGGCAAGGACTATTGTAGCGCGAACGTCTACCCTTCAATTTCTGTATTTTTGTGTTGTACACGGTGTGAAGATTACGGATACTATACGTTTGTAACGCGAACGCCCACCCTGAATTTTCTGTAGTATGTTTGTATTGTAGGTGTTGTGATTTCAATCGCATTATTACCATTATTGCCTTTTAACGCCAACGTCCACCCTCAGTATTGTAGGCGTTGCGAACTGTAAGGACAGTTTATGTTTGTAACGCGAACATCCGTACTGAACATTTTGCATCTTCGTATTGTAGGAGTTGTGAACGTTTACCAAACTATCGTTTGTAGTAGTTGTTGTTGCTGTTGTCGTTGTAGTAGTAGTTGTTGTTGTTGTTGTTGTGGTTGTCGTAAGCCTCTCGGCTCAGGAAAGGTCAGGCTAGTACAGTTGCCTTTTTCCTTTCTTGCCATGGCATTTGTCAGCGCCTGAGCAGTCCCGGTCCCAAGTCCGGGAGGGAGTATTAGATTTACAGCTCTCTAACATCTCCCAGAGGTGAGGGTTGTCGGTATTGCGAAGCCGACAGGAGCCGTACTCAACATGAGTGCTGCGAAACAGCCTAGTGGTTCGACCAAGCATCAGCCCGTTCCTAAAGGGAAGGGTAAACGCTCTTATCAAAGGGCAGCACGTAAAGCTCTGCTTGAAGGTAGTGCGGTCTACAAGGGAAGGACGATGTCGTCAACAGAGCTTGGAGTTGCTCCGGCACATGTAAAGCCCACCAATCCCGGCAGAAGGACTCGGCCTTCGAAATTTACAGAAGATAAGAATCTCAGCTATCTATCCTGGAACGCAGGATCTCTCACAACAGCAGTTTGGGAAGAGTTACTCTCCGTACTGCAAAGTGCCGCATTTCAGGATGTGAAGCTGGTAGCAATTCAGGAAACACACTGGAGGGGCTCTTGGCAATTCAGCAAGTCAGGCTGGCACGTGATCAGCTCTGGTTCCACAGGGGAGAAGGGAGCCGGGGTCCTCATAATGGTGCACTCCACGCTGTGCAAGTCACAGGATCTTCGCTACAACGAGGTTGTTCCAGGAAGAGTTCTCCAGGTCCGGGTGCCGAGCAACGGCATCTCACTGGACGTCTTCAGCTGCTATCAATACGTTTGGCGCTCTAAGGAGACAGTCGCTCAGAATAAGGAAACCCGGAAGCAGACCCTTCACTCCCTAAGTAAGTCCATCCGAGCTGTTCCCAATCGCAACACTCTCCTTGTGCTAGGAGATTTTAACTCCTCGCTCAAAACCGACAACAAACACGTAGGGCCATGCACGATCCAGGCTTGCAGACTCGGGCATCGCGGATCTAAGGATCTCCAGACCCTACTGTCGGAGCACCAGCTAGTCGCAACCAACACTTGGGGAGTGCATAGACCAGCCACCCACGAACAAGGCAACTCTGTTTCACAGATTGACTTCTCGTTTGTCAGGATTGCACAGTCCCAAGGCCCCGCCAGGTTTTGCCGGCCACTAAGGACCTTCCCAGTTGCATCCTGGAGGGATGGTAGTAGGCATTTCCCCCTTCTTGGTAAACTGAGGCACAGCAGGAGATACTCCGCCCAAGCCTCAAAACCCTATGACCAGCAGGCAATGGAGGACTGCTACAGACACCGTTCCCCGAAAATACAGGCATTTGCCAGGGAGGTAGACTCCCTCCTTCAGGATCATCCCCAAACCTGGCAGAGTCTCCATCAAGCAATGAACTCAGCCCTCGCGACTCACTTTCCCAAGAGAAAGGAAGCAGCACAAAGATCAGATCTCAGCATCTGGGAAGAGCGTTCTGTGTTGCGCTCACTCCCACTAGCAGTCAAAGTCTTAGCAGAGTTCTTGCCCGAGCTGCAGGTCCGTATGGTGTTCCGATGCTGGTGCTCGTTCTCCCAGCAAAGTGCACAGGCGAGGGTAGCAAAGCGTCACAAGCAGGAGCGGCGGCGGCACGAAATAGATGAACAACTCCAGCAGGCAGAGCTTAAGTCCAAGCAAGACGGGAGTCATTCCCTTTACAAGATAATCAAGCGCTTCAGGTCGG